AGTCGACCTCGTGGCAGACATTGTCAATTATGACACGAGCAGAATCCACTACCTGTCTTCTGATTCATGTACACGCTGATTAGTACAAATGCGACCAAAAGTACGTACATGCATCGTATCCAATTCCCTGTGACACAACACGATCGACATGTGGGGCGACGAGGGCAGTTGTACAAAGAAAAGTATAAGGTTTTACAAAGAGGGAGAGAAGGGGGCGATTGTACAACAAGGAGGGGGTTGTGTTGTTGTACAAAGAAAGAGCAATCAAGTGATGTGGACAGGAACGGAGGCACGAAGCGGCGGTGATGGTACACGCGTGAATGCAGAGTTAATGAATGTGTGATGAGTCCAGTTTCGTGGTTCATAGGATACTCTGGTGAACTATAGAAGACTAAGCTCATCGACGAGCTTGAGGAGCGAATAGCCAGTTGGGAGAGGGAGAATTTCCCCCATCCCTGAAAAAACCTATCCCCAGCAATGAGTATTCAGACCGTATATATTGATGAGATCAAGAAACCGAAAAATAGGGAGTGTGAACTGCGCATTTCATGGCACGAGCGAGAGCGGCTGATTTTGAAAGATTTGATTCACGTTTGTGGCGGTTCAAAAATAGTAGAAATTCATGTACATAAATCAGTTTCGAGTTTTGTAGGCCTTTGAACAGCTTTAAACACACCATTTCGCACCCATTTCCTACTCATTCCCCATGGTCTACCAGAGGATCAGTCTCGACCGAAAATAACGAGCTCAGTACCTACATTTGGAGGAAGAATGGGAGATCGAGCACATGCTGCTGTTCTTGAAAGTATAGAGCAGATAGAATGATGGGAGGCAAGTCTTAGCAGATTTTACATATTTTGGATGCATGCCGCCAGCAAAGCGGCGAGCCAGTCTATAGAGCTCGATATTACTAAGCTTGGAAACCTACCTTATGTAATATATAGCCACTTGAAGTTTCAAAACGTAGGTTCCGAGGTTCTCAATAGCGACCTAAGTGCTTCGTCAAATCATCAGTTGAGTACTAAGGGTGGTATAATCAGTACTACAGAACACATCTAGATAGTTATTTTAATAAGAAGTGCGCGTCAAGGGATGCTGATCAGGAAATGATTATTTTGAAGTCTAATTTTGAGAGCATGGGACGAAATAAGTAATACGACGCGTCGATATCAATATCGAGACCGATATAATGCAAAATTCAAGGGACACTGTTCATGAGGAAGTATTGTCAATGCATGAAATGAAATGTCCCATTCTTCGCAGCTACAATATCTCCAGCATCCTGACGTCCATCATGTCATCAACCAAAGCCGTGTCCCTGACTTGTGCGGTGATGTTGTTATCCGAAGCGATTCTCTTATACTCCCCACCCCACTGCTGCGCCAGTAAAAGTCCGCCAAAAGGCTGTCTGAGGCGCACCATCAACTTCAACTCTCGCATAGCCGGCTCGTTGTGTATAGGATAGCCGACGAGCGTATCACCTGACAGAAACCCAAACCCGGGCCAACCTACAACGCCCCGCGTCTCCTCTGCAAAGTTAATCAGCCCGAGATCATACCGATTCCACGGACGGACGAGCAAGAATGTTTGCCGAGTACGTTTTTTAGGCGAGAATTGAACTAGCTTGTCTTTCGTTGTGACCAGCAGGTCTCGTAGCCCGTCTGCCTTGACGTGATAAGTGAAACGTCTGGCCCCTTCTTGATCAAGGCTCTGCCTGACTTCTGTGAGAGGAAATGCAATGCAAGGCAATTGCAGTCTGGCGTTTGCGAAACGAGGAACGCCGAGGTTTTCAAGAGTGGTATACAGTTTCGAAGCCGACTCCACAGTTACAATGTGTCGCAGCGCGGAGATCGATACACGCATATCTTGTCCAGATAGAGATGGTGTGTATGGCGGAGCCTTGTATGAGGAAATCTCGGCTGGGAGACAACTGTTGAAGGTGGACGATCGTCCCACCCAGTCCAGAGCTGTGATGTCGCCCGAATGGGCTATGATCTCCTGCAAGAGTCGTCCGAGCGCCTTTTGCCTTTTCTCTCCATAGATAACGGGAAGGTTGACATCAAAGATGCCAAACAAAGAGTACGCGATATCTTCCTCCCTAGTGGTGTCACGGTTTGACGCCCATTGTAGTTTCTCTCGGGCATTTCTTGTCCCTGGACGGAAGTCGGCGAGCGCGAGCGCACTTATGCCAGTTGAACGCTCCAATTCTTTTTTGATCCTGTCAGACTCCTTGTGGTCGTGTGAGCGTATGTTGAGATATAGGGTCCAATCTGCTTGGTAGAAGAGAACAATTCTAGGAGCGAGGAACTCCTGAACAGTCCATCCTCGTGTGTTCCAGGTGCTGTTTGCAAGCGCGCCAGAGTTTGACGAGGGCGGGACATCTGATAGGTAGACGATGGTGAGCGCTGAGTAGTGATACCAGATGAACATGGAGTTGACTGATTCTTGTAGCTCGATGTTGTTGTTCTGGTCAATGCAGCACGTATCAACCCACGCCCAGCGATGCCCTGCACTGTGAGCGACTTGGCAGAACTTCTGCAACTTTGCAATGGTTCCGACCGGATCCAAGTCGTATATCTCCTTGCCTTGAATATCGTACAGCAGCGGCTCCTCGGTTTCCCACCTATGGGATAACATGGCCCAACCGAAGAATCCCGCAACTACTTCTCTGATGGACTCTGTTTGAAGGGGCACGCGCATCCCCAATGAAAGCAAAAGCTCTTTGTACTCTGTACTCCCCGTGAATGCGTTGATCTGTCCATTTCGATCACATATATGCCCAGTGATAGTATTGATTAGACGAAGTGGAGCGTTTTCCAGTTGGGCGCGAATGGCTCTTCGAATAGCATTTTCTAGTTCAGATAGACTGATGTATTGATGGCGTAGCTCTGCAAAAATATAAATCATCTTCAAGTCGACGCTTGAGTTGTTTGGGACTTGCGTCGTATCTGTGGGTCGAGTGCATCATCCAACTTGGAGAGCAGTATCTTAAAAGCCTCGAGCGCATTATCATAGTGCCGTACTCCACGAAGGGCTGCATACTTCAGCTCGTACCCGATATAAGAAGAAGGGTTGAGTTCAATGACCTACGAACATCATCATAAATGTTAAAACAATGACAGATATCATCCGTACCTTGTCCGCATCCGAAAGGGCGTCCATATAAAGGTTTTGGCCCAACTTCACCTTACTGCGATGTGCAAGGAAGGATTCGTACGAGGAATCCATCCCGAGTGTTGCAGAAAGTGTGTTCTCGACGGACCAGAGCTGAAGATTCCCATCAATGTCTCCACTAACTAGCAGTTCTCCGTTGGGAGAAATTGCAACGCAGCAAACATGTACGGTGTGTTTGAGTGGTTGTCCTATCTGCTTGTGCAACTTGGTGCTCCACAGTTGTACAGTATTGTTGTCTGAGGCGGTTGCAACGAAGAGGCCATCAGAAGAAATGGCAAGTGATGGGTAGAAAGTGTGACCGGTACAAGGTTGACCGATTTGGGTCCCGTTCGACGAGTCCCAGAACTTGACTGTTTCATCATACGATGCAGAAACAATTTGCTGACCGCCAGGCAACCACACAATGCTTTGAACTTGAGCGATTATGATGTCGAACAGAAGCTCGGCGTTATTGGTGTTCCAAACCCGGATGGTAAACTCCGTTCCAAATGCTAATTTCAGCCCATCTGGGCTAAAGGAGACACAAAATACTGGACTCCAACCCTGGAGTGTTGAGAGAACAGCACCAGTCTTCGCGTCCCATATGATAGCTCTTTCATCATATGACCCACTTGCGAGTCTCTTTCCATCGGGGGAGAAACACACCGAGGACACCCAGCTTGTATGCTCCACCAGCGGGTTGAATACCATCTGCTTGCTATCGACGTCCCAGATGATGATGGTTCCATCTGCTCCACCACTCGCAATTCGCATATCGTCTGGCGATACAGCAACTGAATTCACAAAGCCACTGTGTCCCTCGAATCGTCCTCCCACCAGTTTTCTTTTCTTCACGTTCCAGATTCGCAGGGTTTTATCCTCTGAAGCAGTGATGATCCGTCGACCGTCTTTGAAGACCGCGACTGCAGACACTTTCTTCGTGTGCACTTGCATCGTTTGTGTTAGCACCGGCCGGGTTGTCTGCGCCGATGTCGCACGCCTTCTCACAGCAAGATATGCTTTTGTTCTATCGAGCAGTCCTGACATATCAATAGACAGGAAGATAGACGGTCAGTAGCGTTTGAAGTTGACGAGAAGAGTACCCTGGTTAAGTCGTCGATTTTATGTGTCATGAATATAATTGGGTTTCTGCCCATAACTTCAAATCATGTAGGCTCTTTATATACTTATCGTTTGCTCGATACGGATCTTGCACGGACCGGTATACCACGTTGCTACAGCATGGATCTCATTTCGCCCCTTCCATCACTAGTGTCTGACCATAAACGCCTGTGATAATCAAATCCTTTGAAGCACTAGAAAAGGGCCGGACTTCGGACTTTACAGAATGCTCAAGAAGGACTTTGCCAAGGAGATACGGCAAGTGTCTTTTATGCGCCCAGAAGAGACGCGAAAGGAATTGCAAATGCTCTTACGGACAGTATGGTATGAGATCATGCTACCCATCGTCATCACCCTCCAGCGAGATCTCAGACCAAAGAGCCGCTCTCGAATCTGGCTGTGTCCAACTGCAGTGTTCATTTCCATCACGCAGCTCACCCCTTTCGAACGAAGGCAGGACGGACATGGGCTGGAACTATGCCTGGAGATATCTACATCTGTTCTTACACGCCAACACTTTCAGCTCTGATCAGGTCTAGAGGGTTCGACTCCATCCTTCCTGCAATCAGACAAAGTTCCCCGCGCACGGGCCAAGGCGAGGCGCTCTTGACTACCGACACGAGTTTGAACCCGCCCACAAGCTTGTCCCCACGACGGCCAATCCCACCACTCTCTCCGGCAACGATGCCACGCGAGCAGGTGCCCCCGACGCATTGCAACGCAACACCTGGGTGCACCTCGCTTGTCATGGAAAGCAGGACCTCGAGCAGCCTTACAATTCACGTTTCGCCATGAGAGATGAACCTCTCACGCTGCTTGACATCATGGAGAACGACACTCCGCACGCTGAATTTGCGTCCTTATCAGCATGTCATACCGCCGTCGGCGATGAAGAGACACCCGACGAAGTCATCCATCTCGCAGCTGGACTCCAATTTTCTGGGTTCAAGAGCGTCATTGGCACTCTGTGGGTGGTTGATGATGCTGTCGTGAAACACGTGGTCGAAGCTTTCTACGAGAATATGTTCAGTGATTTGGAGGACGGTGGTGTCATGGACTGTACAAAAGCGGCCTGGGCGCTCAACCGTGCTACAAATGCCGTGAAGGCGAAAGTACCGCTTGAGCAGAGGATGGTTTTCATTCATATTGGTGTGTAGTCTCATGTTGTACTTTCGTCTGGTACGGTTTCACGGTTTTGTTTATATTGCTGTATTTTTCGTCTACTAATACTCTAAGTTGTAGGAATTCCCGATTCATCTGTTATGGCTGTCACGTACTCTTATGCTCCAGTTGTCTTGGTTTCGCGTTCGCTTTCGCAGTGTTTTTATCTATTCTAGAGTCTTCAGCAAAGTTATTCGTTGCTCAACGGCGACGTGTACCTGCTGTAACAGGGCGCCCAGCCC